CCCGCCGATCGACCACGGGGGTATACCGGGGCGACGCGATATCGATGTAGATCGGTTGTTCCTGCTGTGCACGCCGACTTCTGACAGCCGGGGCCATGTCTGTGAGCAGCACGGGAGGCGGTGACATTGGCTCTTCTTTGATATAGGGTTCGGGAGAATCGACACCTTGCCTTCGATAACGGGTCCGCTCCTGGTCATCATAAACCCTGCGACGCTTCCGTGGCATAAGCTGCTGCTGCTGCTGCTGCTGCTGCTGCGATTGAGGTGGACCCTCGGGGCTTGCACGACCCGAATCGTACTCGGGATGGGTTCGGTCGGAGCTGTAGTCGCGGCGGGCCTCTCTCAGATGTTGAACCGAAGGAACCTTTGCCACAGCGAGGGGTGAGACATGCGACGGTTGGGGCGCGGCGGGGGAAGTGATATGATTCCGAATCACTCTCACGTCTCTCGAGGGCGAAACCGACCGCCGAACAACATAGGCATGATCAGAGTCGTACGTTCGGCGTCTCGCGTTGCCTGCAAATCCTTGGTGATACTCACGGCTCTCTTGTTGCCGGTGGTCCATCGGAGGCACGTCGGGGGCCGGGGGCGAATACTCGGGCTCCTCCAAAACGTCGGCTGCTTGCTGGGCAGAGGGATGCTGCTTCTGAGAAAGGGTGGGCTGGTCAGCGACAGGGTAAACATCTTGCATCTCGCGATCCGATCCACTGTGGTTGAGGGCCTCAAGGCGTTGCAACTCATCGGAATCATGGTCTACTGGGGCATTAGAGGCGCCATCCTCCACACGAGGGGGAACTGGCCGCTCCAACCCTGGAGACGGCTTTTGCTGACTGCCAGGCTGAGGCGAGTCAGGGGCTCTACTGGAGTAGAAGGAATTCTCATCAAGCGATTCGCTGGGCGCTGCGGCTGCTTCTGCTGCTGCTGCGCCATTAGGCATGGGCCTCTCACTCGGTTCCACGGGCTTGACAATCTCCAGCGCTTTATTCAACACGTCCGAGACATCGAAGTCAGGCTTTGCATCTTGAACAAACGTCTTCTGCCGTGACTCGAGTCTCCTCTGGTCCAGCTGCTCACGCAGCGCTCTCTCCACCCGCTGCCGCTGCAGCTGTATCTCTGCACGGACGAGATCATCCGACTTTGTAAGGAAAATCGGATCGATTTCCGACGTCGGCTTGGGGGGAGTGCGCGAAGACGGCTCCTGCACCGCGACAGGCGTTGCACCGGCGCTTTCGGCCGTCGCCAACCGATGGGATCTCTTCTCCGGTCCAGGAGGCGACGGTCCACTCTTCGCTGCCTTGGTCTGGATGGTCGCGACGTTCTGCACGGGTCTCGACGGCAGCTTCCGCACAAACTGCTGCGGCACCTTGAGTCGGGGGTGAGTCCCGGTAAATATCTCATCACTGATCTTCAAAATCTTTTCAAACTCCCTCGCCTCGTCTGCCATTGGCATCGCGGGCGGAAGACCACCGGTCGCTACCGTCGCTGCTGCATGGCCTGCCATGGCGAGGAAAGCCACGCGAAAGCGACCTGAAAAAACACCAGCCTGATGGGAAACCCCTAGTCAGCCACCATCTGGTACGTCTGCAGCTCGCAGCTTTCGCCTCACACCGTGTCGCGTGGAAGGGGAGGAGGTGGTCTGGGAGGAGAGAGAGTTGGCACTCGCCAGGCTGAGAAGGGGAAACTCGCTTGGCAGTTGTTTGTTAGGCGGGCTCCTAAAGGGCAGGCGGTGAAGAAATCCCGTGATGATAACCAGGAACGTATCACACCCCGCCTGCTTTGCTGTGACCAGGTCCAATATTCTGGGCTCCTGCTGTTTAAGAGAGCTCTTCACGTCTAGAGCAGAGTATCTGCCTTTGTTGTTACACTTATTAACTTTATTGAGAGTTTTGTGATTCAAGTGTGGCCTTTCTACGACTCGACGTGGCACGAGAGACGCTCTAGTTCGAAGGATCTGGACAATGGCAACGAACGGCCAGACGAACGGTGCAGCGGATGCGAGGCCTGTTTTCTTCTTTGATATTGATAACTGTGTATGTCGATTGACCGAGTGTCTTGTCTGTTGTGGTTCTGAACGCTGATACCTGGGTTAGCTTTACTCCCGAAGTCAGCAACCCCGGCCCTAGGTACAATCTGCGGATGGAATATTGACATATTGCATCTGCAGAGAATAACATTCACGATGAAATGCAAGTCCTAATAGGTGAGATGGATGATCATCTTCCACACTGAAGAGAGACGCCTTGCTAACTTGTGGCGGTGGTTTAGATAAATTCTTCGTCGAACACCTCTCCCTCAGCGCGGCAGATGCGACAATGCTTCATAAGAAATACTACCAACAGTACGGGCTTGCGCTGGAAGGGCTAACACGGCATCACCGGATCGATCCCCTCGAGTTCAACCGCGAAGTGGATGACGCTCTCCCTCTCGACGAGATTCTCTCACCCAACCCTGTCCTCCGTGAACTGCTCGAGGATATCGACACGACGAAAGTGAAGCCGTGGCTGTTGACAAACGCCTACGTCACACATGGGAAGAGGGTGGTGAAACTGTTGGGTGTGGCAGACTTATTCGAGGGCATCACCTACTGTGATTACTCGCAAACGCCGCTGGTGTGCAAACCCAGCCAGGACATGTACGCAAAGGCAGAGGCAGAAGCCGGCGCTCCGAGCACAGAGAGCTGCTATTTCATAGGTACGTGGGTGGCTTCTCGACTCATAATCTGGACTGACTAACCGACGGCGAATCTGGCTTCAGATGACTCTGCTTTAAATTGCAAGCACGCGCAGGCCCGGGGGTGGAACACAGTCCATCTGGTCGAACCAGAGCTCCCCCAGCCCCCCGCGCCAGTGTCAAATTACATGGTGCGAGATCTCGAGGAGTTGCGGACTCTATTCCCCTCTTTATTCAAGACAGGGTCCAAAACCATGTAGTAGTCAAATCATCCTTAGACTAGATTTTCAACACACTTTCATGCACATATAGAATTCTACACACCTTCCTCTTCGTGATTCTTATCTCCTACTGCCCTGTATAATCTGTTTCCTGAACTGTCACAGAAAGCACTTGTCAAGGCACCCATATATTGATGCCTCAGGCTCGACAGCCGTCCGTCAGGCTAAACCACTTTGGGTGCCGTCCCAAACAGGAATCCCCCATACAAACGCGGTTGTCCCGTTTCACCTGTGCCTGCCACTGCCACCGACGTGCCAAAACGCCGTATCCTGGTCTTGCCATCGCCGACACCGTGAATCTACTGGCTGAATAAGGCCTGATCATATATATGCTCCGTCATCATGGGTGATGTCTCTCCTGGCCAGGTGGTCACATTGACCGACGGACGGCAAGCCACCGTTCGCTTTGTCGGGCCCACGCATTTCGCCGCTGGAGATTGGATCGGGATCGAACTCGACGAGGGAACCGGGAAGAACGATGGAGCGGTTCAGGGCGAGCGATATTTCGACTGTGAGCCGGGCTTTGGCATGTTCATTCGGCCCACGGCCGTCGTGTCGGTCGCTGAGCCGCCGCCAGCTCGCGATGGCAAGCAGCCTCTCAAGAACAATGGCAATCCCACGGCCGCGCCTCGCGGCAGGCCGCAGAGCAGCATGGTTCCTGGCGGGTTAGGTATCAAGAAGCCGAGCGGGCTGTCTGCTACAAATGTCAAAAGGCATAGTGCCACCGCCAGTCCGTCCCCTGCTCCGAAAGTTGCGACGACGCCGCGCACATTAAGGGTAGGTTTTTCTTGAAAAAAAAAAGGAGACACCTTGCTGAAGGTAATACGTGGATTCTTGGCTGATAATATGGGTTGAATGTCGTTTAGTCACCCACCAAATCTCCAACAAAGCAACTCTCTTCAACTTCAGGTCCTCCCTCTAGTCGCATGTCGATGGGTGGTGCTCCACGCCCTTCTCCTGCTATAACACCCAAGGCTCGCCCAACCCCCAGCACAAGGACCTCTATGGGTCCTCCTCCTCCACTCCCTACAACGAGTTCCAAGCGACCTTCGTTATCAGGACCTGCAGGCAGAACCACACGGCCTCCCTCCCAGACAATGTCTTCGGGACCATCTGGACTTTCCAAACGCCCTGCGATTCAGCCCAATCTTACCAAAAGACCTTCAGAGACCGCCGATGGTGGGAGAGACGGGCAAGCAGATGACCCGGAATCCCCCGGCAGAGACGGCGAGAGCGGACTTGCAGAGGGTATCACGTCCCAGGTGACTCGGAGGACATCTGGCACTGCCCGTCCAAACGCTTCTAGACCGAGTCTCTCACCTTTGGCCCAGCGCCAGGCCCAAAGCAATGCGCTGACCAGAGAACTTGATGAGCTTAAAACAAAGCTGAAGGTGATGGAAAAGAAGCGCGCGGAGGACCGAGAGAAACTGAAAAATCTTGAGAAGCTTCAGACGGAACGGGACAAGTTTGAGAGTATCATTCAGAAGCTACAAGCCAAGTATCAACCTCAGCAGCTTGAAATCGGTGATCTACGCAAAAAGCTCAAAGATGCGGAAACAAGGCTCGAGGAAGTCGAGCGTCTGCAGGCAGAGCATGAATCGTTGATGGAAATGGCCTCCCTGGACCGCGAGATGGCGGAAGAAACGGCCGATGCCTTCAAGCACGAGTGTGAGACCTTGAGGCTAAAGGTCGAAGAACTGCAGCTGGAAGTCGAGGTTCTACGGGAGGAAAATGAGGAACTCGGCCAGGTCATGTCACCGGAAGAGAAATCCACTCAGGGTTGGCTCCAGATGGAAAAGTCGAACGAACGTCTACGCGAGGCCTTGATTCGCTTGCGAGATATGACCCAACAGCAAGAATCGGAGCTCCGGGACCAGATCAAGGAACTGGAGGAAGACCTAGAGGACTACCGCGCGGTCAAAGCTCAGTATGAGACTACCAAGGAGAAACTTCTCGTGTCGGAGACCAATGTGGAGGATTTGAAACAGCAGTTGGAGACTGCCTTGGGCGCCGAGGAGATGATCGAGGAGCTGGCGGATAAAAACATGCGCTACCAGGAAGAGATCAACGAGCTCAAGGCAGCGATTGAAGACCTGGAGTCCTTGAAAGAAATCAGTGATGAGCTTGAATATACACACATCGAAACAGAGAAGCAGCTCCAGGAAGAGATTGATTACAAAGACACCCTCTTCAGCGAGCAGAATAGGAAGATCGCCCAGCAAGATGAGCTCATTGAGGATCTCGAGTACACCTTATCTCGCTTCCGAGAACTCGTCTCTACCCTGCAAACCGACCTGGAGGATATGCGTGCCTCCCAGCAGATTTCGGAGGCCGAAGCCAACGACCTGACCACGCGCTCGAGGGCGATGATGGACCTCAATATGAAACTCCAGGCATCTGTGTCCAAGGCCCAGACCAAAACGATCGATATCGAGATCAATCGCATGGAGGCAGAGGAGGCAATGCAGCACCTTTCCATTCTGAAGAACTATCTGCCAGAGTATTTCGATAGCGAGCGGAATTCAATCCTTGCTCTGCTGCGATTCAAACGCATCAGCTTCAAGGCGGGCTTGATGAACACCACGATCCGGGAGCGAGTTTCAGAGCAAGCTGCCTCATCAATCGTCCACGAAGATATCTTTCCAGCGATGGATGTCATCGAGAAGGTCCTGTGGATATCTTTACTCAGTGACCGGTTCATCAACTTCCTCGGTAGCTGCTCTGCAGAGGCTTTCGTTGGGTTTGAAGGAGCCTTGTTCGAGTTGGAGCCTGTGGAACGAACCATCAATTTTTGGCTTGAGGGTCTGAAACGGAACGAGATAGATATGAAAAAGTGCGCGGATGAGCTGTCCAGATCCATTGCACTTCTTTCACACCTCGCCGAGACCCTTCTTCCACTTAATCTGGAGACATTCGCGGATGAGCTCTGCATGGGCTCTCATCTTACGCTGTCTTACCTGGATCATGCTGCTACCTCCATTGCACGGCTCAAATCTTTGGTCCAGGGCAAGCTTCCCACATCTGCCGAGGACGATGGGGAGAACGCCTTCCTGTTCGGCAAGATGGACACCTTTGTCTCTCAAACTCGAGGGCTGAAAGTTGCCATGGGGAAGATTTCTCGCTCCCTTGACGACCTGAGGTCAAGATCGCTGACTCTTTCCAGCGAGGCCACGGAACCATTCAAACAGACGGAGGATGCGGCAAAGGCGCTTTCGGCCCTCGCCCGGAGCATTGGCGATAACGTCGCGCTCTTACTGGGCGAGGAAGGCCGTGCTGAACCGTGGACCCTGGGAGAGATACAGGATACTATGTCACAAGCTTTGGTGTCTTTTGATTCAGCCTCAGGCTCGGAAACTGACAAGAATGACGCTTTGTCTGTACTGAGCAACCGACTTCGTGCACTCGGTAGCTACCTCGAGGATTTGGACTCGATTTCCAATGACCTGTCGCTGACGACGGAGTTTGAAAGACTATCGGCTCCATGGGTCGCCAGAGCCCAGGAATTAAAGTCCAACAAGACCATCTCCCCGGACGCGGACGAGGAGATACGGCGCTTGAAGAACGAGATCCACGAGGCCTCGACGGCTCTAGGAGTCAAGGACAAGACTCTCGAGGAGCAGGCGATCAAGGTTGAACTGCTCGAGTCCAGAATGCGTGAAGCGAACAAGAAAGCGGCAATGGTCAAAGAACTCGAAACCAGGATTGAGGAGATGCAGACGGCCGAGGTAGAACTTCAGGAAGCCTTTGACAAGCAAAAGAAAGATCTGCAAGCTGCGGAAGCAGAACGTGACGATTACCAGACCCGCTTTGAGAAAGTCAAGCGCGTGTCCGGAACTGTCGGGCTTGCCACCACCGCTGATGGCGTGGTGGTTGATGCGGGTGTCTCTCTGGCTGCGATGCGTGAGAACGAGGCTCTGCGGACCGAGGTTGAGAGCCTGCAGGCGGCGGTGCGTTACCTGCGCGAAGAGAACCGCCGGAATAATCTGCTGGACGCGTACTCGGTGCAACGATCCGCAGACCTCTACTCCTGGCTTGACGCACCCCTCACCCAGGCCAAGGCGAGCGCTGAACGCGAAAAGGTCCAGCAGACGGCCTCGGAGACCCGCGACGTCTTTGCCCACCTGCTCAAGTTGACCCAAGAGTCCTGCGTTCCTGACCTCAAGGCCACCATCAGCACGCCCGGAGACAGCGGCTCCAACCGCCTGGCCTGGCGCCCATCGAAATCCCGCCTACGGTACCAGGTGCTCCAGCAACGCGAGAATTTCGAGCGCTGGACCGAATGGCGCGACGACATCGTCAGCCATGAACGGGAGCAGGACCGCGTGGCCGCCGCCAAGAAAGAGCGGATGCTGCGCGAACAAGCTCAACGGCACGCACGCCTCAACTCGGAGCTCGAGTTCCCCAAGGGCCTGGGCCACGGCATGATGGGCCGAGCGTGGCAGATCCTAGGCATGCAGCGAGACGATGAGCGCAAGGCGAGCCTCGCAGGGCGCCCGGGAGGCGTCGTCGACATCGTGTCTCCGGATTAGCGGGCTTTGTCCTGCCTTGCTTTTTTTTTTTCTCAAATAATTAGTCCTCGCTCGCGTTTCTCCAAGATACCCTCGTCGCAGCAGCGTATTTAAGTCTAGAACCCACCCTTTCTTCCCATCTCGATCCCTTGTTTAATATATATTTTCTCTTTCCATGTACACTAGCTATGCTCGGGCTTTAACCTCTTAACCTTGTTGTCAACAGATGTAGATAAGAAATTAGATTTATCTACTAAATAAGCCTAGGGAAACACGAATAGCCGTGGCCTGGTATGGCATTAAGTACTGTAACTAGTGCGAGATAACCAGATGGGTATCTTCAAAGATCAAACAATATAAGAGCCACGCCGAGTCTTAGATTAGAGCGAGAAACCAAGACGAAAGCAAGGAATTGCCAAAAGAGTGGTATCGAAAGGGGAATCTGAAGGGAGCGGTAATTATCTTGGGAGATTGGTTTGAAAAAAAAAAAAAAAGAGTCTAAAAAGCAAGACCGACTGCCGAGTCACCATAACGCGAATAGTAACATTCCTCTCCGGCTGCGTGTCTGGCTTGCAGTCTGTGCTGCCCGGGGCGCATATACTCATCATCAAGAATTTCAGGCACCGTGGGGGGTGCCTGGTACTGCTGTTTTGACGAGACGGGCGAGAAGAGAGGCCGAGGCACGTCGGCGGTGAAGTCGAGGTCACTTCCCACCGGGGCGTGGATGGTCGTGGCGGCCGTGATGGCGCTGTAGAGGGATGGGGTGGTCTTGACGCACGTCATCGTGGAGGAGGTCGTCGATCCACTCAGAGTGCGAGAGCGGCTGTGCAGGGAGGAGTCCTTTCGAGGAGGAGTCGAGTGCGGGGAGGAGTTGTTCTTGTTTGCAAACAGCCACTGCGCGACACGGCTGGATGGTGGGGATCTCGGAGGCGTACTGGGGCAGCTGGCCGAGAGAAGGGGCTCACTGGTCGATGGACGGGTGGACGGTTCGTGGTCCTCTGTAGGAACGGGCGGCAAGGGTCTGTCTAGCAGGTAGATGTCGGCTGAAGGCCGTGAAACGACGGGAGGCGGAGCCTCAGCAGTCCTTCTCTGGTTGGTGGGACATGATGAGACCGGTGAATGATTGATGATTGACCCAAGCAGGTATCTGTTGGGGGAAGAGACGGTTTCTTGTTCCGACAGGGCGGTCGAACTGGGACTCCGAAGAGAGAAATGAGGGATGAAGGGGTCGGAGAGATGGTCCTGGTTCTGCTGGTGCTGTCTGCTCAAAACTTGGCCCATGGTTCTCAGCGATAACGACGGACGAGCACCAGACCCGACTCTTTTCCGAGCCAGCTGTGATGACTGTCTCCAAAAACTTGGCGTTTCCGACGTTGGTGATATTACCGTTGGCGGAGGGGTGGGTAGGCTGGCCATATCATCGAGCCCAAAGTTTTCAAACGTGGGGAGCTCTGATAGCCGATTTCCAGGCCGGTGGATCTTCAGCTGGAGAGGCTGGAACCGTCCCTGCTGCCTAGGCTGCTCGAACTGCTCTGCAGGAGCGAAGGAATGGTAAACATGACGGAAGTCAGTCGGTGCGCTGATCCGTAGCTGCGAGACGGGGGTCGACCTCCTTTTAAAGGGGAAGGTCGCACGGCTGGATGCTCTGGATATCCTGTCCTTGCCCTCCGTCACCCAGGAGGGGAAAACCGGTGTGCGCTGGGGGCTCATCGGGCTGTTGGGGAGACTGTCGTAGACAACCAGTCTCATCGGTGGAACTAGGTGCGGTTGGTTATGGCATACCAACATCTCCCGCTCAATACCTGCAGCCAGCAAGTGTCAGTACGGCGGATTTTCTTTCCTGCTTTCTCACAACGACAGACACCACCTACCTTTCTGTTCCAGAGCCCGCTGGTGTTGTTGCCTCTCGTTCCCTTCCCTAGCCGACAGACAGGACAAGCAGGAGGCGATCCAACCAGTGAACACCGACCCAGCCTGTCGAATTGCCAGCGTCATCGCTGCCCACGCTTCAGGGCTGAATGCCCATGCCTCGCTCGGCGCTCAACGACGACGTTCAGAAGAAAAAGAAGGAATGCCTCAGGCCCAGCCCGTTCGTTGATATGTCGCCTTATCCTCGAGATCTGCCCCGCCCAGTCTGCCTGAGGGAAGGGGGGGGGAGGTGGGGGGGGGGGGGGGGGGGGGGGGGGGGGGGTTCCGATATAAACCCGCGACGGTTTCCTGGACTGACAGCCGCACGAGCTAAAGCTGGACCAGACACACACCTTGATACCATCCTTAATCATCTCTTTCTTCCTTGCAGCGAGACGACGACAGCCAGTCGATGGCCCCTCCCGGGGGAACGGGCCCAGCATGGTGCGTCCGGCGTGCGTCGTGATGGTGTGGTGGTTGCAGACACTTCATTTGTCGGCTGGCGGGGACACCATCACACTGCAGAAAACCTCGCAGACAGGCATTGTCGACAGCCATTCGCCTGAAGGGGAGAGTGGCTATCTGAGAGAAGGTTTGGGAGAGCTGTGGTGGGCGCGTAAAGATTGGCTGTCAAGCATCGACAGGGGACTAACCAGGGCGCTAAGGCTGACAGCGAGTAGATTGCGATGAATAGCCACGAATCGCTCTGATTCTCTCTAGTTTGAAATGAAGCATGTTTCTCGAACAGATGGTCTGATGGCTGTGGAAGATTGTGTTGGCTTTTTTTTTTTTGGCTTAACCTGCCGAGATGCGTCCCGGACAGCGGTTCGTGAAAAAGAAATTGTTTCATATTTACGGTTCCAAAAAGGCATAAAATGGGCAAAATGATATCAAACAGCAGGGAAATGGAAAGAGAGAGAGGGAGGGAGGGAGGGAGGGAGGGAGGGAGGGAGGAAATGAAAAGGCCCGAGATAATGCACACGTCGTGTTCTGTTGCAGAGACGAAGGGGACGGAATATAAATAATATACGGGGATACTAGTTTAAAGAATCACAGTCCGATTTTATCTGTCCCACACGTTGTCGTCGTTCATGGGCCCATATGCCCAGGAGCTCGGTGTCGCGGTCGCTTGTCCGTCATCTGAATCGCGAGGAGATTGGGGTGTGTCGTCGGGTTGAGATGCTTCTTCGACTGGCTCGCCAGACGGTCTCCTATCATCGCACGGGTGCATCAGCAAGGCTGTTGGTTGAGACGTGGAACGAGACACGTCGGGAAGACTTACTCGAAATGCCGATGCTCAGGTTCAGCCCAGGCAGAGCCGAGCTCCTTCTGCGTCTGGACTCGCTCCGCCTCTTCGGCCTCGCGGTTCTCGACTACAAGGTCGACTCGTTGGCTGCGACGGGATTTGCTCGACTGAGACGAGCTTGGGTTACGCTGCAAGGGCCCTGGTGCCTGAGGACTCTCTTTCCGGGACGCGTTGCTGCTGCTGGTTGGATTGGAAACCGATTCGCGACTCAGATTCCCGGGTCCACTGCGGCTCGAGCGACTCTTGCGATGCCTGCGGGCTTTGTGAGCCGTATCTGTCCGTGGAGTCCCTTGGTAGGACCGCGACGAGGGGCCCAAGTGCTGGTCTCTGGGCACTTCATTCGCTGTAATGACAGGATACTGGGTAAAGAAAACATGTCAGCATTTCACCATGAAACAGCATTTCAATTGAAAACACAATTAAACAAGTTCACCTACGTTCCAGTCGCCGAATTCGAGCGCTCGTGCATTGGCAAACAGGCGCTCATCGTCTTCGTCGAGCGTGGTCTCGTCGATCTCACTGTTGGAACGGTATCGTTCTAGAGTACTTTGGCGGCTGCGGTCGCCACGGGCATACCGGCTGGATTCTGCGCCGTACAGCAACGGGGTTCGACTATTAGCCTCCCCTGGTTTCGGGATCCAGTACTTGGCTTTCCCTCCACGCTCATATCGCATCCCGTCCATCACCCGTTTCACTCGCGAGCCCGACTCGGCGTGCGGGATGATGTTGTCACCGGAATCAAAGAACCGGTATTCGTATGTTTCGCCTTTGAAGGTCATCTTCGAATCTTCAATGAGATCTCTGATGCCAAAGGCATCTCGGAGCGCATATTTCACGGGCAAGCGAGCCGAGGAGATGGTCGCATCGGCATAGTCGTGCCACGAGAAGCCATACCAGTGCGAGATGGCAAAAACCGGCATCTCAAAACAGATGAGGCTGTCCTGGATCGCCGCTGCGAGGTTGTCCGGCGTATACCCGGCGACACCGTTCGACAGCGCGCCCAACCACTGCAAGATCGACAGAAAGAACCCTTGCCAGTAGGAAGCGAAGATGATGAGCTTTATACACAGAAACTTGGGAACCGGACGGAACGGTGTCAAGTCGTCATGCAGGCAGACCCAGAAAATCGCGAGAGAATAAAGGCTGACGGTAACACTAATATTGTACACAATTCCGGTCCAGAGGTATCCGGAATCCACACCAAGGTACCCTTCCTTGTATGTGTCGGTTGCTTTCATGACAATGGAAACCAGGGCAAGGATCGGCTTGAGCCATGCGTATTGGAGGATGCCTCGCTTGACGGCAAGGAAGGTATGAGGATCGGAGATGTCGAGTTTCGGGAGGATGTGGTTGAGAGGCCAGGCGTGCGAGACCGGGGGGCGGCCATGGGTCATAATAATCAACGCTCGTTCTCCGCCGAGAAAATTGATGAGCAGTTGGAAGAACGTGTAGATCGTAAATGCCTGCCGCAGTCAATACCCGTCTCTCCAGTCTCCCCAGGCGAGTCCTGTACCTCATATATATCACGGACCGGGTCCAGGAAATAAGAAGCCCTCAGCGATATGATACTAGCCCAAGACGAGGCCGCATATATAGGCACCCTGTATTCATCAGCTCAACCACCTCCTCCTTTCACAGGCCATGGCATCACGCACATCAACAATATCCGGACCACGTATCGCTGAAGAAGCGGTTTGCGATAGTTTTTCCTGTCAACCAAAGCTCAGTGATGGGAAATAGGATACAATCAAAGCCATCGGATCGTACGTTTGAAGCCATATCGACCTGTAGACCAAGGAGGGGCGTGTTAGCCATGGAGCTCCGTGAGAGGGGGCAAGGGAGGTTCGACGACAGCAGGCTCCCCCTGACAGTAACTCACACAAAAGATAACAAAGAGGCCACCAGAGAGGAAACACCAGTCACAATAACCACTACCCGAGCAAGACTCGAGCCTGTACCGCCCCCAGAGGAGCCGACCTCCGTCGTCGACATTGTTCGCGGTACGTGATAAGCCTGCTTCTCTCTCTCTCCCTTTTTGTTTGCGTGGACCCGCAGAACCGTCCCGCGATTCAGCGACCGGTGCAGACCATTATTATCATCAGCAGAAGACAGAGAACAGCAAGGCCTGGCGAGTGCTCGAAGCAACAGCGTTCTGCCGGAACATTGACGGGGAATGGGTTGCTGGCGAGGAAACAATAACTGATTGCGTAGGCTGTCGTATTTCTAAGGCTACGCGTTGATTGATCACGGGGAAGCTCCGCAGTCTCGACCGCCCGACCGACGCGCAGGACAGCCTTCGCAGCTCTCAGCCAGGAGAGCGCCCTTGAGACGGCGAGAGTGTTCTTCGATTCATCCAGGGACACGGCGGATTCGTCGTATGGAGTTTGAATCTGCTCTGTCCCGTCGGGTCGCAATGGAGGCGGCCCTGGTCGCCCTTTAGATCGGGAGATGGCTACGACGAGCATAACCGCGGAGTATTCGACTCCCAACCCGAGCTTTAATTGGTAAGATGATGGTTTGGAGTCGTTGGCTAGAGAAGGCTTTGTCTGATGGGTTCCAGGTTTTTTCTGCTCGAGCTCAGCGTGTCGGGCATCCTGTATGTGGAATCCCCCGATGGTGCGTCGGGCTTTTTACTGACCACACACGTATAGAGTGCTGTTCTTTCTCCTCTACTTTAACCGTCTCTTCGCTACTCTGATCTCGTATGGGATTCGGGCGTATACATGGCATTACTACCGCGCGTACGTCGACATCAAGGCGCTGAATATCTCGCTGCTCGGAGGGCGGATCTTCTTCAAAGACATCCGATACCACGGGGTGAACGAAACGATTTTTGTGCATGGGGGATTTATAACGTGGCAGTACTGGGCACGCGCGGTCCAGAGGTCGGATCTTTCCAAGCTCAATGAGAAACCGTCGGGGCCATCGAATAGCGCGCGAAATGCTGGCAGGGAGGGAGATCCGCCAAGCGTTGTCGACGGCGAGAAGAACAGTGGTCTTGGGGAGCAGGGAGGAGTCAAGAAATCGGACAAGCTTCCTTGCCGCATCACTGTTACGTTCTTTGGCCTGGAATGGTTTGTGTACAACAGGACCCCGGCTTATGATAGTATTCTTGCCGGGTTTGGTGTCAAAGATGACCAAGCTGCTTCGGAAGATGAGGATCATGATCCTCCTTCAGCGGATTCCAGCAAGCCACCGAAGCGCAGTTCGAAAGACCAGCCGGTGTCTCATGATGGCGCAGCAGCGGGGAGCGACGGAAACTGTCCGGACTCTCAACCTTCTACGGATCCCGACCTTGAGATCAAAGGTCCTCTTTTAACTATTCTTCGGCTCCTTCCTATTGGGCTGGTTTGTACCAAGGGTGCCCTTGTTATCGGGAATGAGTACACGAGATCGGTTGTGACAACCACGTTTTCAAGTGCTACGGGGAGCATCGATGCCAGCAATGCAGGGCCATATGACCTCTATCGCCAAATATTCTCCTTTGACTTGAACAACCTTGTTGTGCAATTGCGGCCGAATCCTGACTATAAACAGAGCCAGCTCACAGCTGCACACGGCTTGACCTCGCCGCATGAAGACAAACTCGGGGCGAGACGGACGAGAGACCACTTCTTCAACTACCAGTTGAAAAAGCGGAAAGTCTGGCACAGTGTTCGCGACCTGATCCCGTATTTCCAGAAGTCAGTAGAGTCGTTCTATGTGTTTGATCATGGCGAAACCTCGAATGCCGACGCTCCCAAAAATCCGGCTGGGACTCCAGGTGATGTTCGTTGGGTCGGCCTCTCTCGCTATCTGGACAATGAGAGTCAAAATGATCATGAGGGGTGGAACGCCGTGGAGTATGCCAGGTTCTCGACGATCCTAGAAAGCCAGAGAGTGGCCGTCAGGTACTTCTGGGATATCCCTGGGTCAGTGCCACTTCAACATGCTCCCTTGGCTTCTTCCACGAGAATGAAGTCGCGAGATATTAACGGAGCCCCCCCCCCTGAGTGGGGTGTGGATCTCAGGATAGAAGGCGGCTCTATCACTTACGGGCCTTGGGCAGACAGGGAGAGAGGAGGACTGCAGAATGTCTTCTTTCCCAACTTCTACCGAAGTGCTTCAGCAGCCGTACCGTTGACCCCGGGGAGTAGTAGACAAAATACCGTCTTCAAATTGACCATCGAGCTCAGCGAGGAAACTACTTTGCGTATACCGACCCGAGAGCCATCCAAAGACTGGCAATGGAAGGGTCGAGCCGAGGCGATTGGAGGATCCTCCAAAACGAAGAATCAACAGCAAAGACGGGCTCGAAATAAAGAAGGCGAGAAGAGCCAGGTTGGCCCAGATATCCGTCCCTTTGGCTGGCTGTTTCTCCGTGTTGCGCCTGATTCTACTATCACCTACACCATGGACATGATAGCTTCAAGTTCAGGATATACAAATCAACTTGCCTTGGACCTTCGCGACTCAAGGCTCTCGTCCAGCATCAACCACGGTCCTTTGTGGCAGTGCCCGAGACAATTGATGACTTGTGATCTTTCCAATCCTTTGGGCTGGAATGATCTTCGCACATGGAAGTTCGACATCGAGAGTGAACAGATGGAGTTGTTTCTCTTACGCGACCACATATTTCTCATCACAGACCTAGTGAGCGACTGGGCGTCTGGTCCGCCTACAGATTATTATACTTTTGTACCATTCGTGTATAACTTGAATCTTTCCTTTACAGACCTCCGACTTGTCATGAACGTGAACGATATGAACATCATCAGCAACCCTTCTGATGTCAATGACAACAGCTGGCTAGTCATCAAGGGCAAGACCCTAAAATCGGACGTTCTTATACCTATTGACAAATATAAACCGGAGCAAAATGCAGTTACTTTCAAAGTCGACCTTTTGGATGGCGGCATAGACACCACGACGCCATCGTGGGATACTTTGCATACCTTCTTACAAGACAAATCAACAGCCCTTCTCGATAGTCTGTCTATCGACGGTATCTACAACTATTACCTTTCCACGTCCGCCGAACTCGTCGACACTTTGATCCTTGATATCGCGGGCTCTTCTCCCAGACTTTACCTGTATGGGTTTTTGATCCGGAACTTCATGACCATTAGAGCGAATTATTTTGGCGATGAAATGCATTTCAGGACACTGGAGGAATTCCAGGAACGTGCATATTCTCCGAATCAATCCAACACACATCACGGCCTGAATCCCAACCGAAAGTCAAACGATCTCGATGTGATCCTTCATGTCACCGCCGACAAGGTTTGTGCTCTTCTTCCAGGGAATATATACGACCGTTTGAAGATGATTCGACTCGATGCACCTTCGTTAGAGATTGATTTGCGATTTACGAATTACTATATGGACTTGCAATTTTCACTCGGCCCCGTGAGAGCAGCTTTGGAGTCCCGACAAGTTGATGGCTCAACCGTCCTGTCTGCCACCCAGCTGTTTATCGATAGCTGCTCTATCCATGGCCATCGTCTCTTTGGTTTGCCCCCTGCTGAGCCTACTTACGTTTGCAACTGGGATTTTGGAATAGGCCGCATTATAGGCGAGTGCTCGGCTGAATTTCTGAGCTGTCTGACCGCGGGTCTTAAAGCCTTTGATTTCACTTTAGATAACTTCGAGAACGCTTTGCCACCGGTTATACCCATCGTCTTACATGATGTCACGTTTCTACGAGCCACACTGAAATCAGTGCATGTCTCTGTACTCATGAATGAGGCGGCTCTTCTTGTGAGCTCTGGTCCAGTGAGCACAAAATTCAACGACTGGGCAGATCAGATGTTCTCCAAACGGCTCTGTGTTCTTATTCCCGACGTGACGATTGCCGCTGTGGCTCGTCAAGATTTGGATGATTCAAAATCATCTCACGGGGCAGTGAATCCTTTAGGATTGATTCAGCTTGCAGTGAAATTGCGACTGGCCAAACGTACCTGGAATATTACGGAGGATAGGAGACTTCAGCAAGAGCACATCAAGATTCATGATGAGCCTACCCATCGGACCCCCTGGCTCCTGCTTGATGGCATAGATGACGACCAGATACCATTTATGGAAGGGAAGTTCGATCCCCCTACCATTCCTATACCATCCCTGCCAGCACCTATATCGACACGATCCAGATTTGTCGATCGACTATCTGGCAGGCAGTTTTCCGAAACAATGACCAAGGGAAGCAATAGGAGTTTCATCGATGCCTCAAGTATGAGGAGCAGTAAGAAACGAAGAATCCATAGCGCCAATTCGGCCTCAAGAGAGTATGTCCGAACTCTTTCGGTACCGGGATTGTCTACCTCCGGTGACTTCTTGACTCCAGCAAAATCGCGTTTCGAAAGTGGAATCGAAGATCCGAGGATCTATGTGCGCGATCAATCCACACCCTATGTATCTTCGAGGGCAAAGACAAGCGATGCCAACCCCTGGGCCATTCCGGAATTTTCTCTTCACAGATTAACATTGGATACAACCCAGCTTCCATCAGAGGAAGTGGCTCCTCACGATAAACGAAACATTGAGACAATTGACTCCCGGTGGAATCTGCTTTCCTCGCCCTTTGAAGAGGGGAACACCACGCATACCAATGTCTTCCTTGAGTTGCCTGAGGGAATAAGAGGGTATTGCGCACCTGAGTTTCTCCATATCATCTCGGACTTTATCCAGGAATTCCAACCAAGTCACCCAATTGAGGTTATCGATTCTCTCCAGACAGACGTCGTGGGAGATATTGTAGCATATGAGAAGTCCCTTAACAAGCCCAAGACAACCACGAGTCTTGCTATCCGCGTCCCCTCGATCCTCGTCCGACTAGCTAATAAGACACATACACAAGACAGTGAGAGTCAGACAATAAGTTTCCTTGACGAATACATCATCAGCCTATCCAATCTTCGATCCGAGTTTCGAACAAGGACTGAACGTCAAAAGGGCGACTTATTGAAAGGGGTCAAGAAAAGTCATACGGTGCACGCAGCAATGGATGCCCTCAAAGTGGCTATCAATGGTGGCAATGTGGATGGTTCTCATGGCAAGGCTGAGTTTGAATGTCGACTCGGAGACACAAATTTCTGGCTCATGAGCACCCCTGCGGTGCGAGCCCATCTCCAGATGCGAGCTTTTGATACGGTCACATCGCCAAAATCAGTTGCGCACCTCGCGTCTCTCGTTCGTCGTACTACCACCATGTCTGACTCTGCTGCTTCTGCGTTTCAGCAGAGCTCCTCACTCGGTACTAAGAGGCTACGGTCACTTATCTATGGCCTTACACAGTCTGCTGCCTCCATTTCGGATCCATCGTTCCTCACACGCATATCCAACGTGCTGAGAATTGCACCATCCCATATACGACAGCATGATTCCTGGAAGATCATCTCTCGTCTTCGTAATACATACAACAACCTTCCTTCTGACCAACAGCGGACCCTGGCTACCAGATCTCCGGGTGAGGAATATTCACTGCCGGATAATGCCAGATCGATTGTCCTTTCCAACTTTGACCAATGGCGAGCCTGGGATCTGGCTCATGTTGAAAGAAGTTATGTCATGCGGCGAGTATGGTCTCCTGTCGACAGTGTTCAAGAAAGTACTGCCCCGCCTATGTACATCTCTTCTACGATCAGATCGTTCCGGTTCTTGATGGATCCAGGCCCAAAGGAGAGCGATTTTACATTGCAGGATCTGTCGACCAGAGTATCAGTCCACTCGCAAGAGACTGATGCCACCACAGCCAAGAAAATACCCAAACAGCTGATAGTCGTCCAGTCATACTGCTCTTCCACCGCGCTACGAGTGCGATGGGAGATACTCGACCTCGTGGAGGAGATCATGACAACCATGTCTGATATTACCTTGGAGTCGTCGAACTCCCCACAGCAACCTGCTGTTGCTGATAGGGAGAGCGCAATTGAGCTTCAGGTTGTCATGGGAGCTGACACTGGCTCGATAGCTCTCGATGGGGTCAATGTGAATCTCAAAGTGACAGGTACTGCCCTTAGAGGATCCCTGGCTCATAACGGACACAATAAAGGGGGGGTTAATCATTCGACTCTGCTGCTTAGCGGAGAGACTGTGCTCTCTGAGGTTTCCAGTGTATCCAAGACACTCATGCTCTGGAGGATTCGGGATCCACGAACTTATTTTTCACTTTTGGCTAAGGGAAGTGGAAACAAGTCGGCCCATGATGTCAAGATCGCCGCCTCTTGCAAGAAGCTACGCTACGAAATGAAGGAAGACCCTCTAAGTCTTGCACACACAGCAGACCGACTGATCGAAGACGAAATCCGGTACATCAGTCAACTCGTGAAGGAAATCAAGAGTTTACCAAAGCCTCCAACCGAAAATACCTCTTCGTCTCAACAGACAACGCAAACCCGGTTTCATCTGGCATTATTCTCCGATGATTACCGGCTCTCCTTTTGTTTGTTGCCTTCTTTAACTTATATTATAACCGGTGAAGTGGCCCGCATGTCCGTGATGCCGCGGGAGGATTCGAAGATCGAAATCGATTTTGACGTGAAGAAAAACACTCATACTCTCTTGTCTTCGGAGAGGAACAAGTGGAATGTCCTATCAATTCTGGAGATACCACCCATCAATGGTCGCATCGTTGCCAACCTCTTGCCTGAACGAACGGAAGTTGAGGTCGACACCACCATCGAACTTATCAAGCTACAAGCTAGCTCGGTGCGAAGCTTACTTGGGGCACTATCAGGCTCGGAGATGGCCCATCTAGTATCTGATCTCAAACAGAACGTAGCTGTCCTTGAAAAACACCTTGGTGATGTCCTCGCTTTGGAGAAAACGCCGCCCAAGACAAGAAAGCCGTCAACTGGCCATGAGTTCATTTATAAGGCACGGCTCACAATGGCGGGCACGGAAATTCATGCCACCACCCCGGGCCTCAGCAGCAAGCATTACTCTACGGAGATGTGCCTGACCCTTGGTATGATCCAGATGCATCTCGACAGTGGGTTGGACCAAGGATACCCGATGGAACACCCTTACTTCCAGATCGATGTGACTCGGATCATCTTCGACCTCAAGAAACGAGAAAAATCAAGCAGTCGCTCCTACGGAAGGTGTGCTATCGACGCGAAATTGATAGGTTCAACGTCCGTGGGCGAAAGCGGGGAGCTCTTAAGGGCGTACCACTTGAGCAGCAAGAAGTTCGACGTTGAACTATGTGCTGAGACGGCGACACTCATTGTTGACATCCTTGCCCATCTACAGGAGCGTCTGAAGACGTTGGACCTTCAACATGAGGCCAAACGCTTCAAGAAACTACGACAACGGGGGCAAACCGAGTCCAGGGGAAAGGCAACAGAGATTCCTGCTATCCAGGTGGAGGATGGAGGAGGAGATTCGCAGACCTTTTTCGATGCAATCTATACCCTCGATCTCAACAACGTCCAGATCAGCTGGAACATGTTCCATGGTTCTACGGAGATTCCTGGCGAGCAAGCCGAGGATCTGGTCTTCTCCATCAGGCATCTTGACCTGTCGAACAAAAGGACCAACACGGCGAAGCTTCGGATCGAAGATATGCAACTTCAGATGGTTCCCCCTTCGGCAGACCGGCGGGAGCGATCGTTGAACTCGGCTCTTATGCCGGAACTGGTGTTCAACGTGGCGTTTTCGTCAAAGGAGAAGGAAATGAGACTGGCTTTCCAGGCTGCGGGCAAGTCTGTCAACCTTCGGGCGACTTCAAACTTCATTCTTCCTGCCAGCATGTTGCGGGATTCCATTGCATCGGCATCCAACACGCTACGCGAGGCCAATGCGATTTGGATGCGAACACCATCCACTAACAACAACACGAAGCGCAACCTGTTCGGAAACAAGCGACTACGCTCTATCCTGGTCGATGTGGATTTTGCTGGCGCTTCAGTCGCTCTGCTCGGCAGTTACAACGATGATCATCAGAGGGTGCTGATGGTGGCTTCCAGAAGCAGCTCTCTGCCCAAGGGAAAATATGGCCAGTATGTCCAGGGAGATGCGGCCACCACGGCCACCTTCCGGGCCCCTGGTGTTGCCTTGAAGGTCCAGTTCGAGGATAATGGCAAGGATGACCCGGCTTTGAATGCAGAGCTGAAGGTAGACGCTTCAACCAATGTGCTGTATCCAACGCTTGTTCCATTGATCAAGCAAATGACGGCCACTGTCAAGGAGGTCATGGGTGAACAGGAGTCGTCGCCGACGGCGACCTCGGTGTCGGTGCTGCCGGCCTCTTTGACTCCTACAAAATTGCAACCGAAGTTCATCGACGGAACCCCACTAGACACCAAAAACGCAGACTCCATTCTCGGCCGCTGCAAGGTGAACGTGGGCATTCTGATCTGCAAGCAGGAGTTCAGTCTGAGTTGCCAGCCCATTGCGAGAGTCGCGGCCACGGCATCGTTCAACCGCGTGTACGTGACGATCAATACCGTCCAGTCCGATGACCATGGACGCTTCCTGGCGCTCCTGGTGGCGTTTAAATCGCTGCAAGCCTCTGTGAAACATGTCTATTCCAATGAATCGACAGCCAGCTTCGAAGTCGAGTCGATTATCATGTCTCTCATGAACCGCCGGCATCTCGGTAGCACCAAGGGCATTTCGGCAATTCTCAAGGTGAGCCCGCTGGCGGTGATGTTGAACGCCAAGCAGGTGCAGGACCTCTTGCTTTTCCGCGAGATCTGGGTTCCCTCGGGGGAGGATTCGGGTGGTGCGGCTCCCGTCCCAGCGCCGTCTACGGAGACACAGGCCTACATTGTGCAGAGGTATCAACAGGTGGCGGCGGCGTCTGCCTTCCCCTGGGACTCTACCATCTCGATCGAGCAGATGCGGGTTCAGCTGGATCTGGGCCCCACGCTCGGCAAGTCTCAGTTCTCGATCCAAGACCTGTGGCTGTCGTCGAAGAAGAGTTCCGATTGGGAACAAACGATGTGCATCGGCTTCGACAGCATGGGGGTGGAAAGCGAGGGCCGGATGAGTGGGTTCGTGTCGCTGGAGCGCCTGAGGGTTTCCACTTCCATCCAGTGGCCTGACCAGACCCCCCTGTCTGGCAAGACGCCGCTGATCCAAGCGTCGATTGCGTTCGACCAGCTGGGGGCCAAGGTCTCGTTTGACTACCAGCCGTTCCTTGTCTCGGACATTGAAGGGTTCGATTTCCTCATGTACAATGTACGCGACGACGCGACGGGAAGCAACCGGGAACGACTGTTCAGCATCCTGGAGGGGGAGAAGGTGCAGGTGTTCTGCACCAGCCTGACGGCGTCGCAGGCGCTGGCGCTCTTCCAGGCCTGTCAGCGGCTGGTGCAAGATAAACAGGCGGCGTATGAAGCGTCGATCCGGGAGATTGAACGGTTCTTGCGACGCAAGTCGGCGATGGCGGCGAGCGGGAAACTTGAGCCTAGTCGGCGCGAGACGGAGCGGCCGGAGGAGGACAGGGAGAGCGCCGAGAAGGCCCCGATCTCACTGTACACGGGGGTGGTTGTGGCGATCAAGACGGTCAACATCGGGGCGTTTCCGAGCTCGTTCTTCGACCACCAGATCCTCAAGCTGGAGGCGCTGGACGCGCAGGCACGGTTCGCGGTGTCTCTGCAGGCGGGCAAGATCCACAGCGCGCTAGGCCTGACGCTGGGCCAGCTGCGCGTGGCTCTATCCGGGGCCGGGCGCGCCAGCTCGACCAACCTGGACGAGCTATCGATCGACGAGGTGGTGCAGCGGGCAGTCGGGTCGCGCGGGGGTACGATCCTCAAAGTCCCGCGGCTGGTGGCGCGGATGGAGACGTGGCAGACGCCCGGGGCGCGACATATCGACTACATCTTCCAGAGCACGTTCGAGGGCAAAGTGGACGTCGGGTGGAACTACTCGCGCATCAGCTTCATCCGGGGCATGTGGGAGCGGCACTCGCGGGCGCTGGCGTCGCGACTAGGCAAGCCGCTGGCACCGTCGGCAGTGCGCATCACAGGAGGGCAGCCCGGCGACGGCGACGGCGATGGCAACAGCCACAGCAACGGCCACGGCAACGACGAGCCGGGGGAAGAAAAGATCACGGCGGTGGTGGTGAACGTGCCGCAGTCGCGGTACACGTACACGGCACTAGAACCGCCGGTGATCGAGACGCCACAGCTGCGCGATATGGGCGAGGCGACGCCGCCACTGGAGTGGATCGGGCTGCAACGCGAGAAGCTGCCCAACCTCACGCACCAGATCATCATCGTCACCTTGTTGGAGATTGCCAAGGAGGTGGAGGATGCCTACGAGAAGATCTTGGGGTCGTCGTGAGGGAGTTGGTTGGGGGGGTTGAGTCTCTATGGTGTGTCGATGATGCAGAGTACAGAGCATGGCCTTGTCAGCCTGAAGTTCCCTGCAACATGGTACTATAGTATAGTTAGTCTTATGTATACATACTGGTTATCGTGGTATGGCCTCCGACTATGTTGAGGCTGGATTAATAATGTTAAGTCCTATCTCCGATGCATACAGCCTCGTAACATATTTCATTCTCAGACGTATTTTTCTTGTAGAATACCAAGTTTATATCGTCTCTTTGTGTGTTTAGCTAGAAGATTAGATGAACAGGAATATATATCATACTCCATAGCGGATATATCGGTACTATCCATAGCGATACTAGATGATATAATCTATACTTACGTACCTTATGCCTGTTGATAGGCGTCGTTCCAGAACACAGTTCACAGTGAGGTACCAGGGTACCAGGGTACTAATAACTCAATAAGTACTAGGTACTATAACTTAATAGTACTAACAAGTACAATAAGTTCTATTGCCTCAGTATATGTATACGTATGGGAGTATAGTTACCTAGGTACTGTATAAGTGATACTCTGTATGTAGGTACACGGCGGGGTCCTAAAACAGTATGGTTGATGACGGTATTACCACAGTAACAGTACGCGTATTATTAGTAGCTTACCCAGGTAGAGAGGTAGTAACTAAGGTACTAGGTAGGTACCTAGGTACTAGGTAGGTAGGTACCTAGTACCTAGTAGCTTATAGCTTTACCCAAGGTTACCCAACTTACCAGGTAGTACTAACCTCTAGTACAGAGTACAGTACACGGCGCCCGGTAGAACAGCCAATGGCAAGCTCAAAAGGCAGAGCGGGCACAGAGCAGTGGCAGTCATTGATTACGGGTGGTTGCCTCAGGCAGAAAGGTGGGATGTCGTTATATTACTGAAATACAAATACGCTGCATCACCTGCATCCCCGAGCCATGGAAGGAGACGAGATTGAGTCATATATTAACAATAGGTAAGAATAGACAGATCTAACTAATAAATCCAACTCAAGAACTCCGTATTCCAGAGTCCATCCTCCGTCGTAGTCCAATTTCTGCTAGTGAAAAATTTGACGAGGGCGGGACAAAACGCACATCCAGATTTGAAATCGGGAAAATCCCTTCGTCTCCACCCGGGCCTCTTTTCCCCCCCCTCCTCTTCTCTCGCCTGCGACTTTTTGCTCTTCTTCACCTTCCTCTGTGAAGCCTCCAGCCTTCTTCCTTTGCTTAGGAGCAGTGCACATAGGTTTTTCATCTCGAAAAAAAAAGTCTTCATCAGGTCGAGCTAGCCCTCGGTCCTGCTTCTTTGTGTTTTCTTTTTTTTCCCTTCACAGATACCCCTCTTCCTCAACCCCGCCTCGAAGGCCGTTGCTGAGAAAAATCCGTCAAGATGGTTAAGTACGTTGTCTCTTGAGAGATTCCATCACATACTCTCTCTCTCTCTCTCTCTCTCGAAAAGAATATCTCGCTGACTATCATGTCTACAGCTTCACGATCGAGGAGGTCCGTACTGCGTCTGCCCCGCGCCGCCCGAGGGCTCCCAAACTCGCTCGGCACCGGTGGCTATCAGCATCAGCCCACACAAGATGAGAAGATCAATCAGCTAACAGAGGTGTAGATCCGGGCCCTGATGGACCGTCCGGCCAACATCCGTAACATGTCCGTCATTGCCCACGGTATGTCTTGATCTCTGCTCTGGTGAATAGGAGCGTTGACTAATGTCGGGCTCTAGTCGATCACGGCAAGTCCACTCTCAGTGACTCGCTCGTCCAGCGTGCCGGTATTATCTCGGCTGCCAAGGCTGGTGAGGCTCGTTTCATGGACACCCGTCCCGATGAGCAGGACCGTTGCATCACCATCAAGTCCACCGCCATCTCCCTCTACGCCAAGATGCAGGATGAGGAGGACCTGAAGGAGATTCCCCAGAAGGTCGACGGTAACGAGTTCTTGATCAACTTGATCGACTCGCCCGGTCACGTTGATTTCTCCTCCGAGGTCACTGCTGCCCTCCGTGTCACTGACGGTGCCCTCGTCGTCGTCGACTGTGTCTCCGGTGTCTGTGTCCAGACCGAGACCGTCCTGCGTCAGGCTTTGACCGAGCGTATCAAGCCCGTCTGCATCATCAACAAGGTCGACCGTGCCCTGCTCGAGCTTCAGGTCTCCAAGGAGGATCTCTACCAGTCCTTCTCGCGTACCGTTGAGTCCGTCAACGTCATCATCGCCACCTACCTCGACAAGGCTCTCGGTGATGTCCAGGTCTACCCCGAGCGCGGTACCGTTGCCTTCGGTTCCGGTCTTCACGGCTGGGCCTTCACCATCCGTCAGTTCGCCATCAAGTACGCCAAGAAGTTCGGTGTCGACCGCAAGAAGATGATGGAGCGTCTCTGGGTAAGACCCCCCCCCCCAAAAAAAAGAAAAAAAGAAAAGAAAAAAAGAAAAGAAAAAAGAAAAGAAAAAAAAAAAAAGAACAACTGCTGACATATCCCAGGGCGAGAACTACTTCAACCCCAAGACCAAGAAGTGGACCAAGAACGGCGAGTTCGAGGGCAAGCAGCTCGAGCGTGCCTTCAACCAGTTCATCCTGGACCCCATCTTCAAGATCTTCAGCGCCGTCAACCACAACAAGCGCGATGAGATCAACACCCTCGTTGAGAAGCTCGACATCAAGCTTGCCAGCGACGAGAAGGACCTCGAGGGCAAGCCCCTCCTCAAGACCATCATGCGCAAGTTCCTGCCTGCCGCCGATGCCCTCCTGGAGATGATCTGTATCCACCTCCCCTCCCCCGTCACCGCCCAGAAGTACCGTGCCGAGACCCTGTACGAGGGTCCCGCCGACGATGATGTCTGCATCGGTATCCGTGACTGTGACGCCAAGGCCCCCCTGATGCTCTACGTCTCCAAGATGGTGCCCACCTCCGACAAGGGTCGTTTCTACGCCTTCGGTCGTGTCTACGCCGGTACCGTCCGCTCCGGCCTCAAGGTCCGCATCCAGGGTCCCAACTACCTCCCCGGCAAGAAGGACGACCTCTTCATCAAGGCCGTCCAGCGTACCATCCTCATGATGGGCCGTTTCGTCGAGCCCATCGAGGATGTGCCCGCCGGTAACATCGTCGGTCTCGTCGGTATCGATCAGTTCCTGCTCAAGTCCGGTACCCTCACCACCTCCGAGACCGCCCACAACCTCAAGGTCATGAAGTTCTCCGTCTCCCCCGTCGTCCAGCGCTCCGTCGAGGTCAAGAACGCCGCCGATCTGCCCAAGCTGGTCGAGGGTCTCAAGCGTCTGTCCAAGTCCGACCCTTGCGTCCTAACCATGATCAACGAGTCCGGTGAGCACGTCGTCGCCGGTGCCGGTGAGCTGCACCTCGAGATTTGCCTCAAGGATCTCGAGGAGGACCACGCCGGTGTGCCCCTCCGCATCTCCGACCCCGTCGTCTCCTACCGTGAGACCGTCGGTGGCACGTCCAGCATGACCGCCCTGTCCAAGTCCCCCAACAAGCACAACCGTCTCTACGTCAGCGCCCAGCCCCTCGACGAGGAGGTCTCCCTGGCCATCGAGGCCGGCAAGATCAGCCCCCGTGACGATTTCAAGGCCCGTGCCCGTGTCCTCGCCGACGAGCACGGCTGGGATGTCACCGACGCCCGTAAGATCTGGTGCTTCGGCCCCGACACCTCCGGCGCCAACCTGCTGGTTGACCAGACCAAGGCCGTCCAGTACCTCAACGAAATCAAGGACTCCTTCGTCTCCGGTTTCCAGTGGGCCACCCGCGAGGGTCCCATCGCCGAGGAGCCCATGCGCTCCATCCGCTTCAACGTCCTCGACGTCACCCTCCACGCCGATGCCATCCACCGTGGTGGTGGTCAGATCATCCCCACCGCGCGTCGTGTGCTCTACGCCGCCACCATGCTCGCCGACCCCGGTATCCTCGAGCCCATCTTCAACGTCGAGATCCAGGTCCCCGAGTCCGCCATGGGTGGCATCTACGGTGTCCTCACCCGCCGCCGTGGTCACGTCTACACCGAGGAGCAGCGCCCGGGTACCCCCCTCTTCAACGTCAAGGCCTACCTGCCCGTCAACGAGTCCTTCGGTTTCCCTGCCGATCTCCGCAGCGCCACTGGTGGCCAGGCCTTCCCTCAGTCCGTCTTTGACCACTGGTCCATCCTCCCTGGTGGCTCGCCTCTTGACCCCACCACCAAGCCTGGTCAGACCGTCGTTGAGATGCGTAAGCGCAAGGGTCTCAAGGAGCAGATCCCTGGATACGAAAACGTAAGTTTTTTTTTTTTTTTTTCTCTCTTTTCCATTCTTCTTCTTCTTTCTTCCCTTACTAACTATCGCAGTACTACGACAAGCTGTAAAAAAGTTCAATGCAAGCCGGATAGACTTCCCCTCAACGATATCTGGAATCCTTTTCTCATGAGATTGACAAATGCGATACAATGGTCGGTCTAAAACGATTTTTTTTTTCTCTTGAGTCGTCCGATCTTGCAGAGGTCACCTTTGTCACCCGTCCATCGCCCTTGCGACATGGAAGAGCTACCTCGAGTCGCTTGACGGCATATCCGGAGTTCCAAATACCTAGAGAGAGAAGTAGAATCAAGGAGTGCGCGCATTTGAAATGGCTTTGCTTTCTGTTTTGCTTTTGAGATTGTCACGTTAACGACCGTGAAGGCTTTTTTCTATCTTTACTGTTCTATATTTTACCAAGTTGGACATGAAAATCAATCTGGTAATCACCTTCTTCCCTGGTAGTAGTAATCAAACTCTTGTATCCTCCATCATATTCTTCGTAAAGTTGTTTACATCGCTCCTAAGGACTCCGTAACACGACATGGGCAAAACAATGCCAGCCTCAGGCCACCAGATCACGTGACCCTTTATGTCGCGCGAAAGGTTCCTCGCAGCGGTTCCCTTCATCGCTCATTCACCACTGCCTGGTGAGCTCCCATCACGATCAGGTAGCCATCTCTCTTTCTCCGTTTGTCCTCCATCAACGTCTCTAATAGCCTGCTAGCTAGAGGAATCGGATTCTCGCCCGTTGCGCGCCATCTGGACTTCGCAAAGTCGCTACCCGCGCCGATTTAAATTTATGATGAGCCTCTTTTTTTTTTTTTTTTTTTTTTTGAAGCCTGCCACGGTGAGCTCTCATCGATAGCAACAACAAGAAAACCAAAGCTTCACGGAGATTTCTTCATAAAGGAAGTAGTCTGCTGTGGTAAAGGACACGGGGGAAACGCCGCGATGCAGTTCTCCGAGGAAGAAGCTGCTGAGGTGAAGAAGTGGGTGGTTAAGAAACTCGAAGATATGTGCGTGTC